CCTTTAATCCCAGCACTTGGGAGGCAGAGGCAGGCAGATCTCTGTGAGTTTGAGACCAGCCTGGTCTGCAAGAGCTAGTTCCACGACAGCCTTCAAAGCCACAGAGAAACCCTGTCTCGAAAAACCAATGAGAGAGAGAGAGAGAGAGAGAGAGAGAGAGAGAGAGACTGCTCTATAGCACATAGCCTCATAACATCCTATTGTAATTATCCAAGGACCCAAGTTTGATCCCTTGTGGTAGAAAGAGAGAAATGCCTCCCACAGTTGTCCTCTGTCCTCTACTCACTCTCCCGAGCACACACATAACACAGATTTACACAACTAAGTGGCTTAAACCAAGACACTTATTTTTGAATGGTTCTGGAAGTCAGAAGCAGTATAGTAGAAGGTCTGGCCGTAGCACATTCCTTCAGGAAACTCTGGAGAGGAAATGTGATTATTTATGCTCACCTGGATGCTCTCCCTCTCAAGACCCCCCACTAGTCACATCTGCAGCACCCCCTTGCCCATATTGAGGAACATATACGCACAGCCTCAGGGAGTCAGACATCACATCTTTGGAGGGACTGCCTTTCAGCTCACCACCTAGTGTAATCTTTTGAAAACACACATCTGTGTACATTGCTCCTCTGCCCAGGACCCTGAGAGGTGCTGTGGTTCACAGAGAACAAGGCTGCCATGGCTCCCGTGGCAGCAAGTGCCCTGAAAGCCTGGCCACGCCTCTTCTTAGCTTCACCCTGCCTCCACACTTCTTCCTGTCTGTGACCCAGCTTGTACACATAGCATGCTTCCTTAGGGCTGCTTCCTACTGCAGGGGTCACCCACCCCACCCCCATCCCCAGATGCTCTCACTCCACAACTTTGCATTTATTTAGATGATAATTGGGTTAATAGTAAATATTCTTGTGTTAATACTCTAAGGCAGGGACCACAATTACTTGATTAATTGTTTCCTATGTAACTAAAGATTCCATAAGGGCTAGGACCATGTCTAATTCTTGCCCACAATTGTATCCCTAGCAAGGTGCCTGGCATGCAGTTGTGAACAAGAAATGACATGGTCAGTGAGCTGTTGGAGACAAAGGAATACAAGAGTAAACATTTGTTTGTTGTTGTCCTTATTGTCTACCTCCTGTACTTTGCTTCTGTCTGTTAGGCCCCCGGAAAACTCAGGTATCCGGGGTCCCAGGCCATGACCTCGGTCACCCCAATCACCAGGCGGATTCGAGAGCTTGCTGCAAACTGCATGAGGCTTTATTGTAATTTAACGAGCTAACCCCATGTTAGCTCTGGTCTTTTGTCCACCCACCATGGCGGTTGGCTACAAAAGACAGCTCCTAGGGGCTCCCAAGAGATCTTGTAGGGCAATCTTGTAGGGCAGCGTTAAGGGGAGTGTCTAGGGGTACGCACAGGCTCAGGATTGGTGTGCCCTCCAGGCTTGGAGGACTTGCCCTCTGTTGATTGGCCAACTGGTTGTTATGGCCCATAGGCCGTCCCAGGGTGGTTGCTATGCTCTGATCATCATTGGTCATTGCTGTGCGTTTGTCCGTAAAGTATACCCAGGGTCGTAAAGCATAGCGCCACCAGCTAACTTCTGATTGGTTCCTTGTCATGAGGCAGGCATCTGACCTCTAAGTGACCAAGGCAAGGTTACTGTCATGGCTGCCAAAATGGGGAGCAGGTCCCTTCATGTCCAGCATGTTTGCATTGGTGTGTGTGTGTGTGTGTGTGTGTGTGTGTGTGTGTGTGTGTGTGTACAGGCAAATGCATGCAGACACATGGCATGGTGAATGTGTGAAGGTCAGAGGACAAGCTCAATCATTGGTCCTCACCTCCCACCTTGCTGGAAGCAGGGTCTGTGTTGTTTGCCTCTGTGCTGTGTACTCCCAGCTAGGTGGCCTGTGAGCTTGTGGTGAGTCTCCTGTCCCACCTCCCACTTCCTCGTGGGCACAATTGGACTGTGGGTGCACACACTACTGCACCTGAGTTCTAGGGATTCCAACTCAGGTCTTATAGCTTGCTTGTCCCACTGAGCCATTCTGCAGCGTCAGCTCAGCACTTATCATCTTGCCTATGTGACCTCCAGCAGTAGAGTGGGAGCCCCGAGAGGCGGGACTTGTGTGTATGTAGCTCCCTCCCCAAACACCAAGGCAGTGCTGTATCCATGTCGATTTGGGAATGGCCTCCAGGAGGCTCAGCATCTGCAGGTTTTCATTTTTCACCAACGTATTTGAAGTCAGGTGTTGCTGGCTCTTCATGTTAATCACCCAGCCTATTTCTGCCATCAGGCCAATTGGCAAGGACCTGTTTTAAAAAGCGTTCACTGGTTTGAAAAATGAGTAATAGCCAAGCATATAGACTACAGCTCTATGTAAGAGGTAGCTGCTGTTGTTAAGAAATGTTTGGAGGAGCCGGGTGTAGTGGCTCATGTGTTAATCCCAGCTCTTGGGAAGCAGAGGCAGGTGGAACTCTGTGAGTTGGAGGCCAGCCTGGTCTACACAGTGAGTTCTGTGATAGCCAGATCTGAGAGGCCCTATCTAAAAAAAAGGGGGGGGGACCAGCAAGCCTGATCAGTGGGTAAAGGCACTTGCCCTCTAACCTGACAATCTCAGTTCTATCCCCAAGACCCACATAGTAGATGCCGGAATACATACATGCCAATAAATTAACTCTCTGTCTCTCTCTCAAATAAATAAATGTAATATTTTCTTAATGAATATATCTGCTAGATGTGGTGGGATATGCCTCCAGTCCAAGCACTTAGGCTGAGGCAGGGAGATCACATGTTCCAGGCAAGCTTTGACTGTGTATCAAGGTCTCAAAAATAAAGTTTAAACAGCAGCTGGGTGTGGCGGCCCATGCCTTTAATTCCAGGAGGCAGATGCAGGAAGTTGAGGCCAACCTGGTCTACAAAACAAGTTTCAGGCCAACCAGGGCTATACAGGCCAACCTGTCTCAAAAAACAAAAATAAATAAAAAGGGCTGGGAGGGAAGACGGCAAAGGACTTGCTTTGGGAGTGGGTGGCTTCTGTTGGGTGCTCTGGGTCCTCACTTTAAGTGTTTCTCTGTCTGACCTGCAGATGGCAGCATGTCCTGGGCCTCCTTGTGATATCAAGAAGCTGGACAGCTGAGAAAGAAGAAAATGGACTCCCTCCTTCTGAAGACTTGCTTGAAAGCCAGCCACGAGTGAGTGTGAGCTTGAGGATCCTGCATTAGAGTTTAGGCATTGATGTGAACCACATGTGTTCAATGTTGAGATTGTTTGTTGATATTCACAATTTGTTTACAAAAAAACACTAACTGTGAAACCAGTGTGCAGGGGAATAATGGGCAAAGGGGTACTATCAGCACCTTTGCCACTGAGAAAAGAGAAGTGTACCCCAGTAGCTCAGAAAGTGGGCGGTATGTTACAAGTCTGAGATGTCTGGTTCAGGGCTCTTTAATCCCTCCTCCAGCTGCTCTGTAGTGAAAAGTTTCTGTACCCCAATAAGCCTCTCCACTGATGCAGCAATCCAAATCAAACCAAATTAGAAAAAGCCCACATTTAATGGATACAATGCTCCTGGGTGGCCTTCCAGCCCCCTAGAGAGGAGCCAGTAAAACCACGAGTCTATTTTCTGGGGGACAGTTTAAATACCTTGTGGGAGTAGTCTTGAGCATCTCTGGGAGAGGGGTCATCATTTAGCAGGCTTTCTGAGATGCAGCGGGGTTTGGAGAGAGATAGGGGAGGGAGCTTGGGTCGAACTTCCATCATAACATCCCAGACTCTTTGGGTATATGGATGCCAGGGGCTGGGGTGAAGCTTCCACTGTGACTTGTAGTGGTTCAGGGTCCACTGGGGACCTATCCTGGCCATCAGATCCCAAGCTCTGTCAGCAATCAGGCCAGACTTTTCCCTCTAATCACCCCACCCACCTCCCATTAGATGAATAGCTTTGCTTTACTTATGCTAAGACCTTATTTGTGCTTCTCTCATTTGAGGGGCTGGAGAGATGGCTTGGGGGTTGAAAGTGCTTCCTCTTGTTCTATTCCCAGCACCCACTTGACTCACAACCCACACCGGTAACTCCAGCTCCAGAGAATGTGACGCGCACTCCTGCCCTCTCCAGACACCCACACACGTGTGCACACAGACAAGGGCACATGCACATGAACAAAAATAAATCTTTAAAGAAAAATTAGAAGAGGTGAATGGGCATGGTGTATGATTTATTTTGGATCCTGCTTTGTTAGTATTTCTATTGGAAAGTAATTTTAAATGTTGTATTGGTATTCAGAGTGCCTTCTGCTGCTTACCACACCACTCTTCCCTCCTACTAGGGCTCTCCCTGAATGTCACCTGATGGGTTGGTGATGACTATGACATCTGCAGGAGCCTTGGTGGTCCTTGTCCTCACTCACAACATGTGTCAGCTTTGCTCCACACTGTCTTTGGGGTTCATCGTGTGGAATTTCAGACACTCAGCTGGAATGTTAGATCCTAATTTTACCAAACACCATCCATGCTCGAGTGAATTTCTTATGGATGGAAGAAGGGTGGTATTTTATAAATCAAGTTTGCCTTGCTTTTTACCTAAAATTACTAGTTTTAAAAATACTTAAACTTGAGTCTGGGTATACTAGCTCATACCTTTAGTTCCAGCACTGCAGGTGGATCTCTGTGAGTTTGAGGCCAGCCTGGTCTACATAGTGAGTTTCAGGTCAGCCAAGGCTTTATAGTGAGAGCCTGTGTCCAAAACAATTTTTAATTGGTGAATTTTGTTTAAAATCTAGTTCCTTTCTCTCCTCCCTGCCCCCTGTTGTTTTGTTTTTTTGAGACATGGTTTCTCTGTGTAGCCCTGGCTGTCCTAGAACCCACTCTGTAGACCAGGCTGACCTCAAACTCTCAGAGATCCACCTGCCTCTGCCTCCCGAGTGCTGGGATTAAAGGTGTGCACTAGCACCCCATTTAGTTCCTCTCTTTTATCTCTCTTAAATGGTTTTCATTTGTTTGATTGGTGTTTTATTTTGTTTATCCTTGGCAATGGATTTATTCAAGCATAGTAAATAGCCTGTTGAAAGAACTGATACTAAGGGAGATGGATAGTAAGATGATTCAGCAGGTAAAAGGTGCTTGCCGCCAAGCCTAATGACCTGAGTTCGATTCCCAGAACCCACATGGCAGAAAGAGAGACCCAGTTCCCATAAGTTGTCCTCTGACTTCCACCTGTGCATCACAGTGATTGCAAATTCCCACAGACAGGTACACAAAATAAAGTATAATCTTTTAAATAGCTAATATTAGAGCTGGAAATGCAGCTCAGTGGTAGAGCATTTGCCTAGCATGTGCAAGGCCCTGGGTCCCATCCCCTGCACCACAACAATAATTAACAATAATCATATTGAGTGTCTGTTCTACCTCAAGCTCTTGGAAAGCTACAGAGCTCACATCTTATTGACACCTCTGGAGAGATTTGTGATGCCATTCTTTAGTTAGAAATACAGAAGTCAGGGCTAGGGTATCGCTCAAAGGTAGAGAGCACAGCACCTATCTGTCATGCCTAAGACCCTGGGTTCCATCCCAGCACCTCAAAAGAAAAAGAAAATGGTGACAGCAAATACAAAACCCAGAGAACTGTGACTTACAAAGCACATTGGGGTGCCCTAGGAAGGCCCTGTCTTCTTGCCTGTTGTCAGAAACTGAGCTTGGCCTTCAGTGGGTGGAAGATGAACCACATTTGTCCTCATATTGACCTGGAAAACAAAGTGAAATTAATAAGAAAAAGTATAATCATGGGCTGGAGAGATGGCTCAGCAGTTAAGTGCACTGACTATTCTTCCAGAGGTCCTGAGTTCAATTCCCGGCAACCACATGGTGGTTCACAACCACCTTGAATGAGATCTGGTGTCCTTTGCTTGCATGCAGGCAGACGACTGTATACATAATAAATAAATAAATAAAATCTTTAAAAATCTTTTTTAAAAAAAGTATAATCATAAAGAGTGGTGGAGAAGGCCTGTCTTGAGGGAAAAAAAGGAAAGAAAAACAGCAAAACCAAACCAAAGTATAGTCTTCAAACAATACCTAACTCTAAACTTCCTATCCATTTACACAATCCTCTGTCCTATTTCATTTAATTCAAATTATTGGAATACATTGGCCAAATTTGCATGACATGTGATTCCGACGTTACTAGTTAAGGCCTGGAGTTGTAACACAAGTAGCAGGATGCTTGCCTACGGCTTTCGAGTTCCCGTATTCCACCCTCATCATCACAAGTGAACACACGGATAAATAAATTACAATTGGAAGGCAGATGGTGTGACTAGGTGGTAAAACATGTCTGATTAAGACCGTGAGTTCCATCCTACACACACACTACAGACCAACAAAATTCTCTTTTTAACTAGTTAATGCATCATTGCTTCACTGTATTCATTTGAAGGATTTACAGTCCCACAAACTAGAAAAGTTCTTAAAGTATGAAAAGCCTTCCCCTGTCCCCAGGCTTATCCACACATTTGAGGGACACACACCAATGTACACTGAACTCCCAGGGCACGACTGTCACAGCTTCTTTCTAGAAGCTGATGCAGAAGAGAACCAATCTCTTGCCTTAAATACACTGTTTTATCCAGTCAGTGACTTCAGGGGCTGTCATTCATCTTTGAAGGGCTTGTGCATGTGTGGATGGTGTCAGTTAGGTTCATTATGCTCTCTCTGGTCATTGAAAGCTAAGCATCTCCTACAAGTCTTCCCAACACATGCCAGCTAACTGCTCTGTGGCCTCCAGGACATGCTGTGGGCATTTTGCACTGGGAAATAGACACCTCCACCATTAACTCATGATTTGGGGAGTGCTTTTTTTTTTTTTTTTTCATTTTCCTTAAAAAACAAAAATGGCTGCTGGGTGTTGGTGGCACATGCCTTTAATCCCAGCACTTGGGAGGCAGAGGCAGGTGGATCTCTGTGAGTTCGAGGCCAGCCTGGTCTACAGAGCAAGTTCCAGGACAGGCTTCAAAGCTACACAGAGAAAACCTATCTTGAAAAACCAAAACAAAAAAAACAAAATTGAAAACAAATAAACAAAACACATGCACACAAACAATTGTAATAAAATAAATAAATAAAAACATAAGCAATAGGGGCTGGAGAGATGGCTCAGAGGTTAAGAGCACTGGCTGCTCTTCTAGAGGTCCTGAGTTCAATTCCCAGCAACCACATGGTGGCTCACAATCATCTGTCAAGATCTGGTGCCCTCTTCTGTCCTGCAGGCATACTTGCAGGCAGAACACTGTATACATAACAAATAATATCCTTAAAAAATAAATAAATAAATATTTTTTAAAAGAGGTTTTCTTTAAAAAAAAAAATAAGCAATGAATTAAAGTAGAACAGGCAGTTGTTGTAAGTAGGGGCTCAACCAAGAACTTTTCCAGGTATACTGGACAGGTGAGTAGGAGAAGCTGGGGAGGCATCTTCCCAGGGTCTGCTGAGTGGCCACCGGACACTGTTCCCTCAGCCTGGCTGCTGCCTGCTGCTTGGATAATTGGGATTCTCCCTGCAGCCTCTGCCTCTGTGGGCCAGAGTTCAGCTTCTCCCCTGACCTTAGAAAGCCCTGAGACTGAGCTGCTGCTTTTGAATAAAACACAGGTGTGAGCACTGTGGTGAAGGACACAGCAGCCCAGGACTCGACAGACATAGTCATGAAGCATTTCCGGCTGGGTTGTTTTTCAGTCACCAGTCACCAGTTGTCAGTTGAACTGTGTTTTCCTTCCTGCCGACCTTAAGTGAGACTACTTGTGACTTCTCCATGCTGTGTTTTTAGGGAGCTCCTCCATTGGTCTGGTCTGGGTTGGAAGTAGAATGTTTCCCCCTACACAGACCAAACATACAGAAAAGGGTGTGGCTTAAGTTTGTCTCCATTTTAATTTCTAGGTGTTTCTTTTCTTTTGCTTGGACAAAGAGGGAATATTGGGGTCACTCTTAAATTCTAGCTTGTAACTTCAAGTGAGTCAGTTTGGGTTTTTTTGTTTGTTTTTTGGGGTTTTGTTTGTTTGGTTGGTTGGTTTGGTTTTTCGAGGCAGGGTTTCTCTGTAGCTTAGGAGCCTGTCCTGGAACTCTCTCTGTAGCCCAGGCCAGCCTTGAAATCACAGCGATCCACCTGACTGTGTGTCCCCAGTGCTGGTTTAAAGGTATGCACCGCCACCACCCGGTACAAAAAAAGTATTTGTACTTTTTATAATTTTTTGTTACACATTTATTTGTGGGCAGAGTGGTGGAGGTCAGAGGACAACTTATAAGAGTTCATTCTCTCCTGCCATCTTGTGGGTCCTGGGGATTAAATTCATGGTTGGCAGCAAGCACATTTGCCCTCTAAACTAGCTTACCAGCCAGTATTTTTATTTTATTTTGCAGTGCTGGGAACTAAACCCAGAACCTCAAGCAATCTACAGGTTGGGCAGTAGTGGCACAACCTTTAATCCCAGCACTTGGGAGGCAGAGGCAAATGGGTCTATGAGTTTGAGACCAGCCTGGTCTACAAGAACTAGTTCCAGGACAGCCTCCAAAGCCACAGAGAAACCCTGTCTTGAGAAAAAAAGAAAAGAAAAAAGAAAGTGCTCTGCACCAAGCTGGACCCATACATGATATGTTAGATACCTAAGAGAAAGGACAGTTACCCCCAAGGATCTTGTATTCCTCCTGGGGCTGGAGGTCTGCCATGGTTGGTAGACTGCTTAGCGTGCCTGAGGCCCTGGGTTCCTTCCCTAACTGCGTAAGACTCAGTGTAGTAGTGCTCACTGTGTGTAGCACTGGGGAGGTGGAGGCAGGAGGATCAGGACTTCGAGGTCATCTGAAGGTACATACTGAGTTTGGGCCCACCCTGAGACACATAAGATGCTGTGTCCAAGAAATAATAATTAAAACAACAACAAAATTTGTT